GGCGCGCTGTCCCCAGACGCTGTGGGAAGCCTCCGCTCGCTGTCCCGGGATGGATCCTGAAACAAGACAGGGGGTACATGCGGGTTGGGCAGGCCAGATGCCTCCAGGCCCTCCCACTGCTTTTGGAAGACCCAAAATGAGCTTTCCCCCATGCAAAGGGCTCATATTCCCTTTGTGAGCATCCCACCGCCCGTGACAGCCTGCTCCGGCACTGATGCCGTGGGCAGTGGGGTCACCGCAGGTGCCGGTGGAGGCTTGCAGGCAGGGGACTCTGGGGCTGTCCCACCCCTGGGCAGGGGCAGCTCCCTGTTGCATTTCACGTTTCAGCAACACAAGGTGCCTCAAAGGCATTTTTTGGAGAAAAGAGAAGGGATTTGATGGCGTCGATGGGCTTGGGCTGTGTCAGTGCAGGGAAGCCCCAAGACCGGCTGCTTTGCTCGTCCCCCCTGTGCACAGGGCACTGCGGGGGAAGCAGGAGTGCCCCTCATGCCAGCTGCACCAGGCCTGCGGCTGCTTTCCCACTTGTGTCCACATTGATTTTTAAATGTCCTTATTGACTGCCACATCTCCTTGGGGCCCCATGGACTGGTCTAGCAGCAGAGACTGGTGGCTGTTGCCAGCAGAGCTTGCTGGTGGATGGATCAAGGAGACCCCCTCAAACAAAGCAGGATCCCACTGCCTATGGTATAATACCACTAAAAATTCGTTCATAAACACAGACTAGATCTGCAAGTTTGCCTTTAAGTAGAGGGACTGTCAGTGTGAAGGGGACAAGAAAAAATTAAACTAGAATAGTTCCTGAGTCAGGGACACAGGTATCTCCTGCACTGATTGTGGGCAGTTTTGTCCCCTGTGTTCTTGATCATCGAACTCCTTAAAATGTTCCTCCTTAGGAGACATTGTTCAGCTCCATCATCCCTGTGTGCCATTCAGATTTGCTGTCCCCACAGGTATATGATGGGAAGCTAGTTCAGTCCGTGAAGCAGAAATATGGTGTTTATCTGATAGGATTACTTCACCGAAAGGAGGAGTCCCTGAATTTTTGCATTTCTGCACAAATGTTCCTGTGTCCCCAGTTCAAGTGGATCCCACAGCATCCCTTGGCAGGACTCAAGGCAGTGGGGGGGGCGACAGGAAGAGGACCTGCAAAGGCACAAGGCAATTTTATTTACCTCGGTGCCTTTGAGATAACTGAGACCCTACCGCTCAATTCTTGCCTCCCCACCTGGCGCCGTATCTTATAAAAGGCTGTTGAAAATTAAAGAGAATGCAAGTAAGAGAGATAAAAGTTATCTGAGAGCTGGAAAAAAATCCAAAAAGGAAAACTTAAAAGACTCAACCTACTTCACTTATCAAAAGCAGGCCACGAGGTGGCTAGATCAGAGAGCCGAAATGCCTCCGTGCGAGACAGTGTTGGACGGGAGCAACTAATCCAGCTGCCACAGCAGAGCACGAACCAGAGCTGGAGCTGAAGCCATTTGTGTTAGGAACAATTCAATTAACACTTGTGAACCAGAGAGGTTGCCTCGTTAAGGAGACAAGCTGTGACAGAGGAGGCGTGGAGACACCCTGAGTGTGAGCTGGCTGGGCTGCGGTGGCCAGCAGGTCCCCCTCCGTGCAGGGGCATGCAGGGTCTGGCCCCACAGCATCGTGCCGGAGCAGCTCTTACCTCGGGTAGGTTTTGGGGCTCTCCGGGGGTGACCGCAGAGCTGGGCTTACTGGCCCCATGCGCTGGCCCCCCGGCTGTGCCGTGATGTGCGTCCGGGCTTTGAGGCTGCAGGGGTGCGGAGCGCAGCGTGAAATCGTAGAATTCATGGATATCTGCAAAACAGCACAAGAAACGTGCACAGGACCAGGGAGGCAGCCCGATGCCGGCGTCCTGTGTGGGGTGCAGCACCTGTGCCCACCGGCTCTGCCCCCAGAGCATCGTAAGTCTGAGCCCTCTGTGAGAGGCTGGCACCTGGGTGATGGGCTGGGCTGCGACTCTGCTGGCTCCCTACCCTTGCCACACTGCCCACTGCGCCCTCCCTGCACGGCAAGAGGTGCAGTGGGGCGCCTGGCTCAGCACGCAGTGCCCCATGGCTGTGGAAGGCACAGGCATTTCCACAGAGCAATGACCACACCTGTCATGGGGACTAAGCGCAAACTGTGCTCAGCAACGTCAATCATAAACGCACCCCATCCCGCTGTCCTCCCGGCTGTGCCAGCCCCATGCGTGGTCCCATGTCCCTTCTGCTCTGAGAAGCCTCCTGCGCCAGGCAGTCCCTGCCTGCCTGCCCGCCTGCCCCGATGCTGCCTGGCTTCTCCCTCCCCATCGCTGTTCCCCAGCAATTCCGGCCCGTGGAAGGGCTCCCTTCCCACAGAGACCGGCAGAGAGGGCACAGGGCAGTAGGACAGCATGCTCATGGTGTACAAGCTCTAAAGCTGATGGCTACAGCTGTGTTATCCCCAGCTCCTTCCCTGATAAATTTCTTCTTCCCACCTGGCACGATACTACCTGCACACTGCCACAAGCAGATGCCAGGTATCCTCACCCTGGGCTCCAAGGACCTGCTGCTGTAAATCGTAGTGGCTCCACAGAGTGGTGCAAGAATGGGGTAGCCCCAGACGGTCCCCTGCCAGGAGCACTTTACCCTCTCCCAGGCACACATGGAGGATTGCAGGGAGCAGCAGGGCTGCAGAGGGCTTCGCTCCTCCCCAAGGAAGCCCCCACTGCCACACACTCCGGCAGCTGCCAGCCCCCAGCAGCGCCCAGCTCATCTCCAGAGCCAGGTGGACCTCCAGATCCAGCACCGCCGTAGGAGCAATGAGAGCCAATATACCCATCGCAGAAGTGTTTAATTTCAGAAAGGGAACTACATCAACAGTGAAAAGCTTTTTTATGAAGAAACTGAAAGGGGTAACAAAGTGGGTAAAACATTTGTGGGAGGCACCGAGCCTATTTAGAGAGACCCCATGGGGACATCAGAGTAAACGCACAGTGCCTGGCCAGAGGATACTCCAAAGGCAAAATGGAGGAAAGCAACGCTGGACTGCAGGGGAAGGGAGGCTTTAAAAGCAAGAAGACATTGATCTAAACAGCTGAAGCTGCATCCAAATGAGAAAACCAGAAAGGATGGTAAATACTGCCAGGTTAAAGGTAAAGCTCCAAAAGGTCAGCCAAGAGCTTGGTAAACGCCTCGCCAGAGGCTCAAAAAAGTAATAAATCCCTTCAAGTACCTGGGAAACAGGAAGCCTGGCGGAGCTGGTAGGGCCAAAAATTCACGGCAGCATAAATAAGCACTCGGAGTGGGGAAAGCCGCAGCAGGAACCTGAGTTTATTTTCTGTACTTGTGCCTGCTGCTGCGGAGGCCGGAGAGCCCCTCTTCTGCAGTCAACCCCAAAGGCAAGTGGTGGGTCTCAGCCTGGGGGGGGGCCGTGGCCACTCCCCTGGCGTTCCCCGTGAGCTCAGGGATGAAGGAGCTGCCCCAGCCCTTCGGTGTGCGATTTCTCACCTGAAACTATGCCACACCGAGGCACCACGGGGTATTAAATTCCCACCTTATAAAGATTTCCAAAGGAAATCTGGTGGGTGCTGGGCAGCGTAAGCAGGGACATGCTGAGCACTGCCTGAGGCTGTTTATCTGGGAGGCTTTCACAAAGCAGGATTGCACCCCCAGACAGAAGTCTCTATCCTCTCCCTGTGCTTAACCACATGCCCATGCACTGCAGCAGCACGTCCATGTGGCAGATGGGATGGGGAGCAGCACTGAGCCCCACCATCCAGCTCCCCGGGGCTGCCTGGTGACCTCCCAGGCACAGGGAGAAAGCTGCTATAAATCTCGGCTGCTGGGAGAGTGGCTTTGTGCCCACGGGGAGCACAGCCAGGCCACGTGGCCACCTGAGTCCAGACAGCACCGTGCCACTGCCTGGCGTCAACGATGCTTTTGGAGCTGCTGCTTCTGGAGCTGCTGCTTCGCGCTGCATCATTGCCAGGCTCTGTCCTGTGCCCCGGGAGAAATAGGGCAGCCGGCAACGATGGGAGGAGTGGGAGTCCCCAGATCCACCCACCGCGCTGGGGCAAGCCCCTCCGCAGCCCCCCAGGTGCCGAGCACACTGCTGGCAGCCCTTGAAGCCCTCCCAAATTAGATGTGAGGTCACAGCAAGCAGTCAGCACACAGCCAGACAAACGGGACTTTGTTTTCATGCAAAAACATCTCTCCCTCTGGTTATAAAAACAGTCATTGCGTAACGGGATAGCAGGGGCTCCTGGCTGCGTGGATTACGCTTGGAAAGCGCAAAACTTTGCAAAAACGAGAACAGGATTTGAACAGCCCCGTGGCAGGGGTGCACCGCTGCCGGCATCCCCATTTGCCACCCATCTGCTGCAGGAACACAGCCTTGGGCAGCCAGGCTGGCAAGGTGCCTGTGGAGCGGGAAGCTCGTCCTCTGAAGCAACCGCGCTCCACCCCCAAAACCCTCAGCCCATTTTAGACACTTGCTGGGAGAAGGAATCGTTGGTGGCACCAGGAACCAGAGGAGTTTCAGGATCTGGGGATGGGGTTCAGGTAGTGAAGGGTGCGGCTGTGACAGGAGTACATTCTAGGACACACATCCATGTGGCATTAAAGATAATTTGAATATATGCTGGTTTTCTTCATGTCTTACGGGCATCACAAGCTGCACACAAGTCTGCCACACCCGGCGCTTTAAGAGCAGCGCTACCTGAAAAGCCTCAGTAAGGGGGTGTTGTGGTAGCAAAAGATGATGCTGCATGTTCTGCCTTACAGCCGAATTTCTGTTTGATGACAGAGTGAATCCACTCCAGATCAAATAAGGAAGAGTAACTCAAGATTTACAGAGATTAGAATTTGTCTAACAATTTCCTCCTGGGGTCAATACGTCAAATAAGTGTAATTAGATATGTCTACAGCACCAGCACCTGGGGGCTAACGCAGCGCCCTTGTGCCAGCCAGCACACGCACTTCCAGAAAATGCCATTTCTTCCCTGACGTGTGCGCTGTCACCAGCTGCGTCACCGCAGATTTACCCCAAGCAGAAACCCCAGGCTCGCACCAACCTCCCAGCCGTGGCCCCGCTGTTGTAGGGAGGACTTACACCTACGGTTGCCACAGCAGAGACTTCAAGCAGGCTACAAGTTTCCATCCTTGGCTAAGGGCTAATCTGCAAGAGGAGCTGTCTTCAGGGCTGGGAATCCTCCCGATTCCTCCACTTTTCCACCCTGGCTCCTGCAGCCACCCGGTGAAGCAGCAGCCACCACCCCAGCAGCGCTGCTGGTGAGCTGAGCTCCCGGCTGGAGTTTTGCACCCGGGGAAGCACCGTGGGTCAGCAACAGCCTGCCCTCTCCTCATGCCTCCGCAGCAGCATGGCTCACTGGGGGGAACCTTTTTTGGGGTAAAAGGAGCTGTAAGAGAGGGCTGGGGGCCCCGAGCAGCTGACAGAACCTCACTGGGGTCGTGCAGCCACCACTTGGGCACGAGGAGCTGAAACCCAGAGGGCTGTCGGGAATATCGCTGCCCTTTGGGCTGCTGGCAGCCGGGGTGGCCGAGCGCACACAGCCCCTGCCTGTCTGCCTGGCTTCACCCGCTGCAGATGGCACAACGGCTCCTTTCAGCCCCAGCTCTGCGAAGGAAAGGTCAGGGAGCTGCTTCTGCGTGTGAGCCCCGTCCTCCCTGGTGACACGAGACAGGGCCAGGCATCTCCCCAAGGGGCTCTGGAGAGCAGAGAGAAAGCAGGGCCACGATCACCCCAGCCCAGTGTCCCCAAGTCCCGGCTCCTCGAGCGTCCTTTCGCTGGGCGGTTTCCCTGCAAGTCACGTGCTTGGCTCTGCGGCCTCAGATGCAGGCAGAGAGGGGCCAGGAGGAGGGAGCCAGCACAGTCTGTTTCCCTCTGCACCGCCAAGGAATTTCTTTTGTGCAGAGCACGGGTTGGTGCATTCCAGCGCGGAGTAGCTCCCGCATCGCTGCGCTGTGCCGAACCAGCCACCGAGGCACCCGCCGGGGCACGACCGTCCGGGCAGGGTCAGCGAGCCGCACGGCATGGGCAGCTCCTGGGAGAGGGAGTGGAGTCTGGCACGGTGGTCACAAGGGTTTAAGGGGCTGTGCTGTGCTTAGAGGAGTCTGGCAGCAAACAGTGTTTGTGCAGAGCAACACTGGGCACATTCACAGCAACAGATACATCCAGCCCTGGACACCAAACAGGCTTTATCTGAACATCCCAGCAGATCCTTCCCTGGAGCAATCTGAGGCTTCTGGAGTCCACAAAACAGCTTATTCTTTAAAAAAAGCATATGGAAAGCCATATCCCCGGCATTTTTCATGTGGACCAACTTGGAAAACTTCATGACGTTTGGCACTCCTGGCAGCTGTACTATGGCACAATGCATTCTGGTGTTCAAGCTCAAGCTGGCCAATGCACGCCTTAGGAGAGCATTAAGTGTAGGAGGATGAGATCTGAGGACAGGGATGTACTGTGCTCACGCATTCATGTTCCCTAGAGGCTGAAAAAAAAAGCAGGCCCATGTTGCTGAAAGGCTGCAAGAAGAGGGACCTCTGCAAGCTGAGACCTCTCCGGAGCCAGAAACATCTGGCATGGCACGAAGCAGCGAGATGGGAGCCTCTGCGCTGGGAGGACTACCCAGGGCTCTCCTGAAAATCCTCCTGTCTCGGATAAACTCCGAACCCGCCCTGTGACTCCAAGCAAACTTCAGACAGAGACACAGCAGCCCACTGGGAAAAGAGGGGTGGTGTGGGTGAAAAGCAAATACAATAGAAATACTCCACGACCCTCCTAGAGCTGTCACCGTGCTCCAGCAGGTCTGGACCATGGACCCCGGTGTTTGGCAGCTGTGTGTGGGCGCAGCGAGCACGCAGCCAGACACAGCATCACACGTGTCCACACAGGGACAGAGGAATTCACAAACCCATGCTCCGGGGGAAGGAGGATGGAAGTAATTAATGTAAATTCCTAGCTAGGTAAACACATCTAGAGAAAGCTCGCTCTGGCACGGGGAACTAATATCCTGTTAAACCAGTTGAAAAGGTCACCAGCAATCAAGTGACACTCCCTCGTGCCAGCATTGACAGGACACCAAGACAGATGGCTTAAAGCAGGGAGCTGGGAAGCCTGTGCAGCGTTTGCGTGCCAGCGTGTAAACTGCAGCCAGCTCGGCGTGTGCGTGGACACGCTCTCTCCAGCTACACTCTCTCCATGACACTTTTGCACTAATATGAACAGCCCTGGGCTTCAGGAAAGCTGCTTTGCTGCCTTCACACAGCCCCAGGGAGGGCTGGGGGAGCACACAAAAGCAGTCAGGGGTGTTGAGCTCGTGTCAAGTTTGCCATGGCGATCACAGCCCTGCTGGGGACCACTGCCTCCAGCACGGGGCTAACTGTGGGCTGGGGACCATTTTGAAAGTGGGTTGTATAAACGAAGAGGCAAGAAAGGAGATGCACGCTGGTTTTTGGCATGGGGGCCCACTGCCCTGGAGAGCCCTCCCTTGCCACATCTCTGCTGCCAATGGCACACACATCCCAGTGCAAGCCCTGCACAAGGACACGTTAGGGCTGAAAGCCTCCAGATGATGCTCCAACAGCAAGGACAAGCAAAGGAGAGTATAAAATAGCTTAAGACACACTGCTCATCCCATGACTGTATTCCATTTTCAATGGATAACCTGAAGCACAGAGGAACTAATGGCAACGTGGGGCTCTGCAGGCACAGAACTGGGTCTCTGGCTGCAGAGGTGCGAAGAAAAGATGAGAGCTGCCAAGAGAGGAGAGCGATGGCAAGTGGGAGTGCCAGGGCTGAGACAGCCTTGGGTCAAAACACACTGAGCATGAGGCACAAACCATGCATGGAGCTCTGTACCCCAGGCATGGGTCCTTCTCTGGGGTGCAGAGCTTCTGGGGTGCTTTCCCTTCCTTCTCAGCAGGGAAACTTGGCTTCTCTCCCGGGAGACCTGGGAACAGAAACCATCAGGGCTGTGCAAGCTTCCCTGAGGCCCACAGCGAGCAGGACTTAAGGAGAGGAGTTGAATGGGAGGTCCTGCCCCTCTCAGCACACTGCAGCTTCTGCAAATGGTTCTCTGGGGTTACTTCCAAAATTAGTGTCCTAAGTGAAACTAGACAGCCAAGATCTCGTCTGCTTTGGCAGGGAATGGAGCTGAGCAACTTCAGAGTCTAAAACCATCAAATTTCATTTTTCTAAAAAAAAACCTTGCAAAGAGAGTGCGTTTTCAAATGATGTCATTCAGCGAGATAGCCATGCATCTTGCATGCAGAAGCTGCAGAGTCTGCCGAGACTCTGGCTGTGTTTGTCTAAATCCACAGGAGGACTTTGCACTGAAAACGGCATTTTCTGGTGCCCAGCCCCAAGACAAGCCTCGCCGTCAAGTCTGTTTCTTGTGTGAAATGGAGCTGCTTGCACAGTGCATTACTTGCAAGTGTTTGTGGGTCTAAATGCACGAAAGGCCAGGATACTCCAAAAGAAGCTGGGTACATGTGGATTCTCTCTCAAAGACAGAAAAATTTAGTTTCCCTTTGGGTCGGCAGCAGGAAGGGAAAGTAGCAGGTTGTGATGAGGCTGAGGGGCACAGTGAGGAGCGAGGCCCGTGGCAGGGTGTCCTTGGTACGGCAGCAGAGCTAGAAATCCGGCGGTTGGCTGAGGCCACACCACGCCTGCACTGTGCAGAGGGTGCTCGTGGCATTGCACCATCCCTGAGCGGGTGCTGGGTAGATCTGGTCCGGCCCAGCAGCATCCTTTAGCAAGCACTGGACAGATCTGGCATGGCCTGATGAAGAAGGCTTTACCCCTTGTCCACAATCACCTGACTGAGGAATCCCGTTCATGTCACAAACACCGAGTGACTGCAACCCTGACCCCCAGTATCTCCTGCCCAAGCCCTGGAGGGGAAAGCCAGCCCAGGTCCCTGGCAGGTACCCACGTGTTTGCACAGGATGCACCCAGCCTGGTCAGTGCCAGGCACCGGTGCAGGATCAGGCCCCCCGGAGAGGCCACTGACCACAAAGCCGCAGGGACCGCAAGGCAGGGGCTTACCCAGCAGAGCCTGGAAGAGTTCACTTTGGAAGACGTGCGAGACTTTTCCGATGGAGGCTTTTAGCTCCTGCTCCTCTGGGGCCTGCAGGGTGCTTTGGTACCTGGTCAGAATTTCCACTGCCCGTTCAGTGTCTGCAGAGATGACAGGAGTAACAAGGCATTAACACTGAAGGATGGACAGACATCTTCAGGGAAGGCTTGAGTGCAGCCTTGGAGCAGCGCAAAGGCCCCCCCTGGACAATGCCTCAAGTTGCCTTCCCGCTCTGGATTTTTAAGAGACAGCCAGCCACAAAAGCTGCCTCCTTACGCATACTTGGAAGAGCTAACCCTGCCGCAAGGTGCAGAGTGGCCACGGTGAAGAGCTGGGCAGGGGCCGGGGGGGGAGGTGGTTCTGCCTGCTGGCCCTCCTCAACCCTGAAAATCAGGGGCTAAACCCAGGTTGACTCACCTCCAAACCCCGTGGCACTGGGCAACCTGAGCACCTCTGCCACCTCCCAGGCAGAGCAGCCATTCAGGAGCTGGATGTGTGCCAGATGCACAAGGCTACGAGTACTACTGCAGGAGCTGCAGCCTCCCATGCGGGGTCAGATGGCTGCAGCACAGCTGAGCGCAGCCCCACTCACACAGCACAAGACACGTGAACTGCTGAGCTACACGAGTGGCAAAACTTAGGTTTCTGCAGGGTGAAGTGTAAGAATTGCTCCACGTAGCAAGCAGCCTTGGGTCACCAGGAGACACAGCGGGAAAGGAGTGTGATGCCTTGGTGTCAGGGAAGGAGGGATGCTGACCCAGAGGGGAGCTGGAGGCTGCTGTGAAGCAATGCTTTGGTTAAAGACTGGGCTTACCATAGCTGTGAGACAACCTTGGACTAAACCAGTGGAGCTGTGATCTCTCTGTACCAGGACACCTCAATGCTTCTCTGGGCAGGTGCCCGGAGCTGCCAGTCCAGCCCCAGCCCCAGATGTGACCCATTTCTCAGGAGGGTGGTGAGCTCCCATGGACCTTGAGCCCATCCCAGCGCTATCAGTGAATATTTCCCTTTATCGCCCAGGCAGCCCGCAGACAAAGAGCGTCTGTGTGAGGAGGCGGGGGAGCCATCCTGCCACTGTTGGGGACTCATCTTTTAACCCAGCAACTCATGCAGAAAGGATGACCCTGCTCATCCCCGGGCTCTCGGCAGGGAATTCAGGTCATCAGACAAGGCGGCCTGTGTCTGCCAGGGTGCGTGCCACCTGCTATCCTAGCTTGTGCAGCTGGGTCCCCTCCCGGTTCTCCTTGGCCAAAAGGGGAAGGGGGTCCTGCCTGTGTCACCAGCCCACACTGACTCATCATGGGAGCAGAACAGAGAAAGGAGCCCGGGGAAGCGTGAAGAGCTCCTGCTCAGAGCTGGGCTCCATGCTGGCTCCAGGAAAAGCAGGGACTTCCCCAAGCTCCAGATTTACTGGGCTTTATGGGCATCCCAGCCCTATGTTATCACTAAGGGCTTCCTTTTCTGCAAGATCAGACAGTGGCTTCAGACACTGCCCAGCATCCCGCAAGCAGGGTTGAGTCATCTCCGCCTGGTCATTCCTGACCTTACCAGCAGAAGCTAAAGGAGCAGGTGGAGAACTGGGGCCACCACACCGGGACACAGAGACTGTGAGGCCGGTGTGAAGCTCCCACCCCAGGCCAGGCTGCACAGAAAGAGCTGCACGCAGCCCGTGCTGACCCCTGCACTGCCGGCCACCGGCACCGGGTGACAGCCAGCCGGAGCGGGGCAGCGCTGGCCCGGGACCACCCAACCCAGGGAAGCGCTGAGCCTGCAGCGCAGGGGACAGACGGACACCCAGAAAAGCGCACGGGGTGTCTGGGTCCCATCTCACCGCACCTCAAGGTGCAAGTCCCCCTCCCAGGGGGTCCTTCCCGGCGAGGCCCCCACACCCGCCCTCCCCACGGCACGCAGGGGTGCCGCAAGCACAGCATCCCGCGGCCCGAGGAGGGCGGGAAGCC